ACCTACTTCTTCCAAAAGGCTATCTCCTCCAACCCAAGTAATGAGAGCTGGGGATATAGCTCAGTGGCATAAGCACCTGCCTGGCAAGCACAAGGTCCTGAGTTTGATTCCCGGTACCAAAGAAAAGAAGATCCAAGTAATGAAAAAAGCCCATAAGCAGAAAAAAGGAGGGAGATCTAGAAACACATGAGAAATGGTCCCAAATGCCAGTGTCCTGAGCGGTACTATTTGGAGCTTGCTGAGGATGACCCAGTTTGACCTCTCCAGCTCCTGAGAAACAGAACCCTTTAACAGAAACCATAACAAAATGGCCCAAGACCACATGAGGCCTCAAAATGAGGTTACTTTCCTGACTGAAAGGAGAGATCAACTGGACAGAGAGTGGGAGACCTTCTGCATCAGTGCCCAAGCAGGAAGTTAATTTGGAGCATGAAACTGGAAGAAGTTATCCCAAGGAACTCTAGACAGTTAAGAATAAAAAACTCCACCTTAAAGGTGGGATGACAGAATGGATATCACCTGGACCCTGTCAAGAACAAAAAGCTGGATAATTTCTACTCATTACTGTGGAACCCAACATCATGAAATATTTTGTCGGCTAAGATCAGAAGACAGCCACACAACAATACAAAAGTGTTTCATCCTTGTCAGGTGGAGGAAAGCACGCAGCACAGAAACATACAGGATGGAAACAAGGGACATTCTGAAGAACCCCTAAGTGTCCATTGTGGGCTAGAGTGGCTGTTTGGATTAGAACCCTGGGAATCTGGAATAGCCACTCACTTATCCCATTACCATGGGCTGTCACAAGTGCTCATAAGAAAGAGTAAGGGCAGCCAGGACCTCTCGCAGAGCCCCCACAGGGGCACTGGCAAGATTTGACGTACAGAAGAGTAGTAAAAGGAACCCATCTGCTTGTGTCCCCGCAAAAGGACAGGGTGGGGACCAGTACCACCAGAGAAATTCACAAAAGTCCACAGGCCACAGACCCTTCTCACATGTGAATCAATGGCTTCTACCTCCTTTGAGGTCAGAGGCACCTGGTGTGACCAGGGTCTCACCCTGCTTTAACCGAAGGCAGAACTACCTGATGCTGCAGGTGGATTTGGAGGGCCTCTGAGCTCTCAGACCAGGCTCACCACTACAGGAGCTGAAAGCTTGTTATAACCTCAGTGACCAAAAAACCTGTCAAGCTGGTTCAATGCTTCACGTTAATGATCTGTCAGAGGAAGAGATAAACTATTCTTGAGCATAAATAGGAACTACCTCATTCTGTACTATGCTTTTACATGAAATAACAGACATTATATGATACATATAAAGCAAAGCCTTTCTCCACCCATCATCAAGAGATGCAATAGTCAATCAATGAGATCCACAGGTGGCCAGGAGGTAAAAATACCATAGAATTTAAAATGACTATAATTAAGATGTCAAAGAATCTAGTAAAAAACTCATATCACATTCATGAAGATGTGGGCAATTACAGCAGAACTATGAAAATCATTTTTAAAACCCACAGGAAAGTGCTAGAAATAAAAAAGAAAACATTATCAAAGATGAACACTTTCAACAGGCAAACTGGGCACAACAGAGAAAAGAATGAGTGAAACTGAAAATATGTCATAGATATGAGAAATACAAAGTTACAAAGACCACTTAAAATTCAAAACACAAAGCAAATAAGACAAAAGGAGTGGAGCAACCAAGCACTCTGGAACAATGGCCAACAGTCTAATGCGTGCTACTGGTGTCCCAAATGGTGAAGACAAGAAAGTCAGAACCAAAGAAATACTTTGGGAGAAAATGATCAAGAATTTTCCAAAATCTAACTGCAGGTAACAGACACGGCAGAGCATTTGGAGGAGTGTCACCTAAGCGTCCTATAGATGTCACTTACTGAATTATGCAGTTTCCACTAAAATGGAGTTAAAAGCCTTTGAAACAGAATGAAATCTGGCCAGTACAGCTATCTGAATACTAAATGTAGTGTATATACAAAAGTAAAACTTAAATGTGTTATGGCCCAAATATAGCAATCTTTTTTGCCTTAAACTTACTAAAGGCAAATAATACTAGAAAAATATTACCTCACAGAGACTGTTTTTCTAGAATTTTTTAAAAAGCTTTTGAGTCTTGACAATGCTTTGATTATGTTACATCACTGATAGCAAAACTTTTAGAGACCCAGTGCCAAACTGCAACTCAGAATACACTTATTTATCACAAAGTGCCAATGCTGTAATTAAATCTCAATACTGAGGTTTTAGTTTAGAAAGAAAACACAACTCTATATTAACATCTTTTATTTTGAAAGAAAAACACAATATGCATGCCATAGGTTTGCCATCACTGTACTAGATGATAACTTCAATATAATTTTGAAAATTTGGATCTATTTGCGAAGAATAATCTGTATTTAACTCCCTACAAAACAGGATGTCAAGAGGTACCTCCATGCCCATATTTGTAGAAGTACAATTATTAAGAGCTACACTTTGGAAGCAGCCTGCATGCCCATCGACAGGTGAATGCACGAAGAAAATGTGGTATTCACACACAGTGGATCACAACTCTGCCGTGAGGAAAGATAAACTCAAGAGTCATTTGCAGGAAAATGGATCTTCCTTAGGACCATAATGTTAAAAGAAGTAAATCAGACATGCAAGCTTAAATATCACATGGATTCTCTTCTATGAAAAACCCAAATTATAAATGAAAAGCTAAATAAAAGACAAGAAGAAGTAGGGACACAGACCTTTCTCAAATGGGAAGAGCATCAAGAGATGAAGGAAGGGGTAGAGAGGGATGGGAAAGTGAATGAAAAAAGCAATTCAAATGTGTTATATAGCCAGGCATGGTGGTGTGGGCCTGTAATCCCAGCACTCCAGGGGCTGAGGCAGGAGGATCACCATGAGTTCAAGGCCAACCTGGGCTACAGAGGGAGTTAAAACCCAGCCTGAACTACACAGAGAGACCCTGCCTCAAAAAAAAAAAAAAAAAAAAAAAAGTGAGATGTACAGGCATCAGCTCCTGAGAAGGAATGTAAACATTATGTACTGTAAATATGCACGAATAAAAAGCTGTCTGGGATAAAATGTGATACAATGTATAAAAAGGAAAACTTAAAGTCTACAGTAAAGCCCAAATTTACATTTACTCATCCTATACTTTGACAGTGTTCTCTACTAATCGTGGGAGCTCCTCTCTAAAATCCTGAGTGCTTCTCCCCTGTGAGTTCCCTGGGGTTCCCCAGGCCAAAGGCTGTGATTTGCTTTCTTACGAAAACAGAGAGGTACCACTTGCCGCTCGATCTTAGGATACAGTGTCAGGGCCCTTGCACAACACTAGTCAAGAACATGGACTGTTAAACACCGAGTCATAATTTCCTTAGTTTAGAAATATTCTGGGAAAGTGCTGGGGATGTAGCTCAGTGGCACAGCGCCTGCCTGGTAAGCACAAGGCCCTGAGTTTGATTCCTGGTACCAAAAAAAAAAAAAAAAAAAAAACCAGAAGAAAGAAATATACTGTGAAACATATCAAAACCAATGAAATGAGAAATAATTGATAAAAAGCAAAAAAGAAGTGAGAAAACATGTAGTGGGAAAAGAGGTGGTCTCTCTGGTCATTATTGCTCTGCCACTTACTTATTTGTGCCTCAGCTATCCATTTTTAAAAAGTGGATCATAATGCTAACTTTGTCATAGTTTTATGAAGCTTAAATGAATTAAAAATGTAAAAGCCCTGAAACTATTATCGAGAAGTCTTACCTGGCATGAAATTTGTAGTCTTTCTGTTTATTTGCACTTATTTTAAGTGTATGAATTATTCTCATTAATAAGTTTATATTAAAAAGTATACTAATTGAATTAGAAATATTAAAACTTCTTGACAAAATCAAGACACTTTTCTTATTAATGAGTGACACAGCCTCTTCTATGATATAGTCATATCTTTAGCAATCAAGTAAATCAGTGTAATGGGAACGTTTTGATTAATATCGCTAATTTCCATGAGGAAGAACCAAAACCTCTTTGCCTCTATGATGGAACCTTTTAAACAAACAGATTATTGACACTTTTATGGAAGCTACACATGGAAAAGAATGTCTAAACCAATCTAAAATGACCTTAAACCTCCTTCATAAAACATCGTGAAATACAGATTTTGAACATTGTAATTTAAGTCATACTATGAAAAGTGGTAATGTTTGTTTAGGCATTTATAGTTTATGAATTACTTTTATATTTAGTAAGTGCTCTAATTTCTAGCAACAATGTAATATGAATGTGCTATCCTAGAGCAGAGTGGGAAACCACTGTAGAACTGCTTCCTCTCTTCACCGCCACCAGAACATGAATACTTTCTTAACAGGGCCCCGAGGGTATGTTCTGAGCACTCCAGGGCTGAACTAGAAGGCTAAACTACTATTGTACCAAGAAGGATATTATTATTATGTGTTTTCTCTAAAGTTTTTATTTTATAGCTAAAGTAAAAAGTGAAATCCAAGAGAAGGCTAAATTAGAATTGCCCTTCAGGGGATCAAGCTCATGTCTTAAAATGTGGAAAAATGTATCAAGTATGTGTAGCCCATAAGCGCTCTTAGAAAGCCAAAATGAAAAGGGAAATATGTGGATGAGAAAGCAAAGAGCAGACAGCAAAATCATGAGTAGGTATTTAAAACAGCATAAAATTTCCATGCGGCAAGTTCACGTCTAATTGTGCCCTAAACCCCAACAGTGAGCTAGGCCAGCGTCTGGACATAGGGCGAGCTGCATGCACTGTTCCTTAAGCATGTGAAAATCGATTTGCAATTCAAAGAATCAAGACACTGTTGGGATTGTTTAACATTCATTTCCCTTCTAAAATTTTATCTTCAAATGACCCCTAGAACATATAATTTCCAATGCACCACTTCATCTTACATAAAATCAAATATGTTTCTTTAAAAATAAGTACAGTTTTTAGGAGCAATGTTAATGAGGTAAATTAAATCTTACCCTGGTGTGTGTACGAATGTGCATCTTGAGTCCATCATTTTTACTGAATCCTTTCTCACAGTAAGGACATTGGTAGGGACGCTCACCTACGAACAAAGGAAGTCTATGTGTAAGAAAAGTGTGACTCAGCAGAGCAGGCCCGTGCCTTCACTCTTCCTGGCTCCAATCCTGGACGCTACACCTGCCCCACATCCCTGGGTCCCCACACAGGTGGGCAGAGATAGCATGGGCAGTGCAGGGCAGCAAGACTGTGACCTTCTTCTGTCCATGGAGGGAACGTGGCCCAGAGTACCTCCAACACTCACAAATCAGTTGCCTGTACTAGATACACCGTGTGCTCCCTCTGATAGCTGAGTCCAATTAAATTTCCTAATTTTAAGATTCTATTAAAAATATGTTATATTAATTAATTCCTGTCAATGTACTAATAATTAGTAGAAGTCTTTATTTAACTAATTCATTGATAACTTTCAAAGTTATCAAAATAATTTCATAAAACTTGTTTGTTTATATATATATACG